AGGACTATCTTTACTAAAAGCAGCCATATGGATATGTACAGGTTACAAAGCATCACTTTCAAGTGAAAATGAAGTGTTACACACCCCAATAATCTACTCACAGGAGTCTCTGCAATATATATTTTCTTATCCATAAGGCTGCTTCACTTGCACATTATAAAGGTATCATCTCCTATCAAACATTCAGCATGAATGTGGAAAGGAAAGAAAAGCTATAATTATAGACCCGGTGAGAATATTTGTTCAACTAAGTACATCAAACTAGTACATGATACTCCTTCATTATTTCTGAATTTTTTATTTCCAAAAGTTTCAGTGGAAAGAGCAGAGGGGATTAATAGACTCACAAGAAGCACTTTCTCCACTGAGATGCTAAAGAGCAATAATCACGTAGGAGAAATAGAATCAGCAAGCATCTAAAAGCAACTATCCTGAATCTGGGTTTGGTTATCAATCTTCATTTTGCACAGGAAATTAATTTTAGATCCCCTGTGACAAATGATTATGATTTAACCAGCTGTAATTTAATTAAAACTCTACTCACTTAAAGCAACTCTGGAAGGCTAGAGACATGCAGGAAAAATATAACATTTTAAGTGACTCATTTGTCCCTAAGCAAATTCAGGAAGCGATCACAAGTTTCTAAGTTACAAAAGTAAGAAAAACAGTTCCACCCTGCCCAGCTCTCCCTTCCCTTCCCTTCCCTTCCCTTCCCTTCCCTTCCCTCTATTGCTTCTTCTGTATCAGACTGCAGTTCATAAAGTCTCATAAGTAGGTCTCATATCCTGACATCTAAGAAAGCATCACAAATACTAGTGCAACGTTGGCACGACAATTACTCTTCTCATTATAGTTTTGAAGAATAAACATACAAGGGAGGCCAAAGCGAGACTTTTACCTACTTTGGAGGTTCTAAGAGTGTTTGGTGATTTTTACTCCAAAAATCGATGGCATGGGTTCGAGTCATTTTGAGGAAATAAGCCTGTGTAAACTGTAAAATTGAAAACCGGCTTCATTCTGGCTTAAGCACTTATAAAGGGATGAAGAGGCGTCTCCTGCCTATGAACTCACAGAGATAGTTTTTGGCGCTCTTCTCCTTGGTAAATTATTATAATCACAATTTGACTGAGATATCAGGACAGACTTACCTGCACGTGGGCCTCTCTTCTCATCAAATAGCGCATTTTGCCTAGGATACATTGCTGCAGCTGTTCCCAAGACATGGCTCTATCTTCTCGCATCAGTAGCGGAGGGCCAAACCTGGGGGGGGGGGAGAAACACAAACGTTAATGACGCATGGCAAGAGGCTACATTTGTTCTAGAGACATCTGCAAGACAGCAAAGCCTTAGTTATAGATAGTCCTTGACTTACAACCACAATTGGAAGCAGGATTTCTATGGCTAAGCAAGGTGGTTGTTAATTGAGTTGTGCCTCATTTTATGACCCTTTTTGCCACAATTGTTAAGTGAATCACTGCAGTTGTTTTAAGTGAATCAGTTGTTAAGTGAGCCAGCTTCCCCAATTCACTTTTGCTTGCCGGAAGCTGGCTGGGAAGGACATGATCTGGGACATCTGTCACAAATACGTATGCCGGTTGCCAAGCGCTCAAATCTTGATCATGTCACCGTGGGGATGCTGCAATGGGCATGAGCGCGAGGACTGGTGGTAAGCCACTTTTTTCAATGTCACCGTAACTTTGAATGGTTGCTAAACGAATTATTGTAAGTCAAGGACCTGTATCTCTAGTCGCCTAAGAAGACAAACCATGCTAAATGATACCCATCCACTGAAAATAGTATCAACACAGAAAAAGAAGTATCAAACCAACAAGTGCTAAAATTGGTATATTCATCAAAAGACACCAAAATTACAAGGGCTTTTTCTCCCCTCTACAGGGAACTGTATCATTAAATTATTCATATACCAGCTCGAAAACTGAAATTTTATTCTTATGTAACCCTGAACATATTGATGATTAAAACATTTGTTTTTCAAAATTCAGAGTACATTCCAAAATAATTAATTTATTATTAGGCCACCTACAAAGCTAAAAAAAAAAGGCAAGATAAAGACCTAAAAACATAAGGAGGAGGAGATTTTGGCATACGACTACCATAATAAGATGCATTAATTGGGCAGTGCGTTGTGGGCCCTCTTCTTGACAAAGCAAATTCCACAAGATATTCATTTCTTCAATTCTGCATTTACAAATAAAGAAACTAATTTAAATCCCTATGCTTTCAGATTACAGACTCTCTTTACTCATAAAATTGAAAGGATTCTTAACAAATCTGTGCCTCTTTCATCTCTTCCTTGTTGGGTGGGGTGGGGTAGTAATCATACCTTTCGTTTAATGCTGTCTTTTAAATGGTTTCTTTTTTTACAGGTAATTTTATTAAAGATTATCATTACAATAGCAAAAACTAACAAACTAATGAAAAATTAGAAAGAAAGAGTAAAGGTGCGGAGTGGAAAAAGATATAAAGAAAAAAAAGGAAAAAAAAAGAAAAGTAAGTATATACCAAAGGAAATATAGCATATAAAGAAATGACTTCCAGCTTTCATCACACAATTTTAATAACTTTTCATCTCCTCTTAAATTACAATACAATCTCTTCTTCCCATATCCCACCTCTTATTTTCAATAGTCTCAAGCATTATTCAGACACGAAATTATCATTAATTTCTACCCAGCCATTTTAAAATGTCCCACATATCTATGTGTAATCTACATGCTGTAATAACTTTAATAAAATTTGGTTTCATTATCTACATTAATTCTGTATTAATATTACTACATCAAGCAGCCTTCTATTGCTTTGGAGAGATCTCAATAGATCTTAATAAATGTTTTTTTGTGCTTTGTTAGCAATACAATTTTTAAAAAAAGCTTAACAGTTTGGTGAAATATAAGTAAACAAACAGAGTTAAGGGTGTCATTATAAAACCAAACAATATGTATAACTAGGGCAGCAATAGGCAACCTTGGCTCTTTTATGACTCGTGGATTTCAACTCCCAGAATTCCTGAGCCAGCCATGCTGAGGGGAAAGGGAGAGGTTTCCAAGCTGAGCCATGCTGGCTCAGGAATTCTGGGAGTTGAAGTCCACGAGTCATAAAATAGTCAAGGTTGCCTACCCCTGAACTAGGGCTACCATAACTGGCCTGCAAAAATCCAGTGATAACCTACCAGAAGCAAAGAACTAAGCCTTTCTAGGTCTCTGTATTGCCACCTAGTGGTCATTTGGATATCTGCTCCAAATATGTTACGATTTGGAAGACTTAACCCTCTGAAAATGTCTTTTGTTTGGCTCACCAAAGAAATGTTTCCAAAGAAATTTAAAGGTATAGAGAACATTTCAGTTCTGAAGTATACAAATGGGTAAAACTAGGGGCAACATGAATACATCAGATAATATTTTGATGTATCTCTTTTGATTTAAATATATTACCTGGAACTCTTACATTTAGTTAGCATCTGATCAGAAATTTCCTTTAATTTATTGTAAATTGATGATATAAAAACTCTAGGGAAAAAGAAAGACAGGCAGAAAGGAAGGAGTTTCATAAATTTAGCCCAGGGATAGGCTTGCTTACAGATTGTGGTCATTGCCCAAATGGAAAATTAAATCATAATTTTTATTTCAAAATCAAGGCGATAATTGTTTTTAGAGAAAGCCAGGCTTAGCTAATCCATCTGCGGCAAACATTTGGAGTAGGCAAGATTTGCATTGTCAAGAGTCTTTTTTTTCTTTGGCATAAAGAAAATCATATGGAGTTGGATCAATTTCTCTTGATTCTATAATTAAAAGCAAACGTAACTCACTCCATGTACCAATTTCAAGATTAGAAAATAGTAGGTAGCTTGGTGTTGGTTTTACATGCCTAATCTGTTTTGCTTTTTTTGTTTTGAAAGCAATTCCTCTCCTTTTAGAGAAAGATAAGCATGTTTTACTTTGGGATTTGAGAGCCAAACAATTCCACCTTTTGATTTGAAGTGCTTGACTCCTGCCTCTGAAAAGGGCTTCAGGTTCTGTTGGAAGCTGGGCCTTAAAGACTGTGGTGGTAGCAGCAAGACTGAAACTGACAGGCTGAAACTCTTCAAGTTCCTTCCCTTTGCTTGTGCAACTCACAATACTCCACACACATTAGAAGAAAATTGGGGACAATTTAAAGAAGCCAGGTAAATGGTCTTCCTTTACAAACAGAATACTCCCCTAAACTCAGACATACCATTGCAATAAAGAGGAAATGCCCAGAAAGCTTTAATTGCAGATGGCATAAACATCTAATTGATAAATAAACAAACCAACAACTGACTGAAACCTTAAAGCACATTTTTTTTGCTTTCTTCCTCTGGCAGTAGCCAAATTCTAATTTTTTGGTCTAGCGGCTATCACTATAAAACTATGAATTTTCTTTGCATTCTATATGCTGGGCTGCACTAACCCCTTTAACTAAAAAAAAAAAAATAGAATAGAAAGGACCACATGTTTAAAAAGGTCTTCTTGCCCATGGAAAAGAATGGGGAAATTTGGCTGAGCTTGCCTGTAAAATACAGAAATATTGCTAGACAAATTTATCAACCATAAAACTCAGCATCTCACAAGCTGTTTCCAGCCGATGATAGTTTATTAGCCACTGCAAGTATGCAGAGACTTACTTAATGACATTTGGGATGTGCACAGTGAATTCATTATCCGCCTACAGTGCTTTGGCATTCAATCTCCCTCCCATGAGCAACTCATAACCATGCTACGGAGTGCAGCTCCTCATTTTCAGCAAGAGGGGAAAAAGTGTTTTTGAAAAGGGGGTGGGGTGGGGTGGGGTGGGGTGGAAACACACGTACCCCAAATGGGCAAAACATAGTCCAGACCATGGAGTTGGCTCGGGATTCCTGCTCCAGGTCCAGCTGCATAGCAGGGATTTGGCAGAAATAACACCACTACTGTTCTAACTCAATTGCCTCAAGCTGAGTCTATTAACTTAATGCTACACTTGCTTTATCAGACCTTAACATTAACATTACAAAATCCAGGTGTTGTGCCAAATAACACAAAGGAAACTGTGCTTAACAAGCCCAGCTGCTGCTTATCTGGCTGCTAATCAGCAACCCTGCAGATCTGGGATCCTGAGGGAAGCAAGTAGCTTCCTTTCAGCACGAAGTTCTTTCCCTCTGATGCAGACTCTTCTTTCAGTTCACTTCTGTCAGCTTTGGGGACAATAAGGAGGACCTGGTTTTTATCCTACAGAATAACCACCACACCCGTGAGCGGAATGGGACAACTCGCCAACAGCCAAGTCCACCACAGCCAACTTGCCATGCGACAACTTGTCACGGCTGACTCACCACATGACAATTCGCTGCGGGCCAATTTAACAATTTTATTTAATTATTTAAAATGAATAAAAAAATATTTTAATGTTTGCCACCCACGTTTCATTCTGTCCGTCCTTTTGCATCCTTTCTTTAATGATTCTACCACCATTTCTACCACCACTATTTCTTTGATATTAGTGTAACTCTCGTTCCACAGTGAGTTGTCCTGCAGTGACTGTAGCACGTTGGCTTTGGTGAATTGGCCGTGGTGAGTTGTCATAGACCTCCCCCAGTGAGAGGGGTCTAAAGAGGTTCTTTCACAAACACTGCAAGGATTGCATAAGAAGCATCGGTCATTGATTTCATGTTTTCAAGTCGCTGTCAACTCAGAGCAAAAATATTAAAGATTTTCTCCAGGATAACATGTCCATGACCTGGCTTTTCAGATCTTCCAACTATGCCCCCACAGACTCCTCATCTATCCTTGTTGGTGTCATCCTTTATTTTTCTTTCCTTCCAACTTTCCCAGCATTATAGATTAATGAAAAAGCAGGGTCTTCACAAAAGACGTCCAAAATATGATCATATGAAATTTGCCATTTGTGTCTCGAGTGAGAACTCTGTTATATAAATTTGTTTTCTTGGTTATCCATAGTATACTCAGTGGTCTTTTCCCATAGTAAAGTTCAAAAGTGTCAATATTCTTTCTATCCTATCTCTTCGAAGTCTTCTATCCTATCTCTTTTGGAATTTCAGAGGAAGACACTGTTTGCACAATTCTGGTTTTTGTAGCTATAAACACATCACAATATCTGACATACTTTTTCAAGGCCTTCACTGTTACTCTGCCGAGTACTAATCTGTGTGCTTCTTGATTCCATTACTGCTGGTATTGATTCTACAAGGCAAAGCTATCACTTCACTATCTTAATTGTCAATTCTAAGGTTGGTTGCCATGCCTGTTGTCATTAGTTTGTGCACTGTGTTAAGTCTCCTTTCTTGTGTACTGATATGTAGACTGACATCTTCCCAATTCGTTTGTCTCTGTGTCACTCTCCTGATTTGCTAACACAGTTTAGAGGGATTCTTTATTAAACCTCCTTGCAATATTTCTGCAGATTTTTCCACCAATTCCTATAGTCTTTTAACATGGTAATGACTAGAATTCTGATTTAACTTCATTTTTAAGGAACTAGAATTTTTTGTAAATAGAAAATGTTTTTAAAGATATCTTGGAGGTTGACATTTCTAGTGCTCAGAATTTTAGTATACTTATTCTACCTTTTTCGTTTTTCTTGAATGTCCTTTAGTATAGCTGTGTGAGGCTGGGCCTCTTTTTGAGTTTAGAAATCTTTTGGAAGGTTTTCCTTGTTTTTTCCATGTTTCCATCTTTAGTGCCTTTACATATTTTGTTGTAATACTGCTTCTTGTCTCTTCAAACAGCTCTCTAAAATGCTTTACATTTCTTTCTGAGACCTATCTTTCTTGGCTTCGGCTTCTTTTCTCGGCAACTTCTACCATTTATTCTGACATTCACTTTGCTTTCTTCTGTTTCTAGGAATTTGGCAGTCTCTTTTCATACTTATTCTTAACAAATCCTTTGATTTCATTCCACTATTCCTCTGGTTCCCTATCAACAAGTATGGGACTTCCTGATGTTGAAAATGGTAGGCATACGATCAAGAATATATTGTGGAACATGGCTGGCTTGTTCTTCCACTTTTGCTTTGCTTAGAATTTGCACCCCAGTAATTCTAGACCTGTTCTACAGTCAGCTCCTGGTCACATCTTTACCATTATAAATGAGCTATCCTACCTCATTGTAGTAATAATATGGTCAATTGGATTTATGTATACTGTACTCCATTTCGTGAGGTCCATATACCGTATATACTCGAGTATAAGCCGAGTTTTTCAGCACATTTTTTGTGCTGAAAAATGCCCCCCTCAGCTTATACTCGAGTCAGCGTCTCGAGAACTGAGGAAAGTGAGTACCGTAGTTCTTTTTTTTTGGGGGGGGGGGAAATCTATGCAATCACTAAAAGTCGACACCGGCTTAATCTATATCCAATAACGTCACAAAATAGCATCCGGGGAGGGAGGGAGGGAGGGAAGTCTCCTGCTCGGCCGCTTGCTTGACTTGCAGCCGATTTCCGGGGAAAGCCTCTTTACAGCAGGCTGCCTTTGGGAAGCGCTGCCTCCTTCCATTCATCTCTTTGCTGCTGGAGAAATTTGCAATTGCCCGTGCGAGAGGCAGACGACAAGGAGAGCGGAGTAGCTGCCTCATTTCCCACCCTAGGCTTATACTCGAGTCAATATTTTTTCCCAGTTCTTTGTGGTAAAATTAGGTGCCTCGGCTTATATTCGGGTCGGCTTATACTCGAGTATATATGGTCTATAGGTTTGTTTTTGGTTGTTTGAAGAATGTATTAGGATTAAAAAAATCATTGGACTGGCAAAAACTGATACATCGTTCTCACACTTCATTTCTGTTTCCTAGGCCATACAATCAACCACAGTTTCCTCCTTACTATTTCAAGTGTTTAACATTCTAGTCTGTTTTTGCATGTTCCCTTTCAGATTGAACTTGATCATAAGACATATTAACCTCCTCTTGGTTGGAGCATACACTTGCACAACCATCATTATTAAATAGTTGTCCACAAAGTTTAACTGGTATTATTTATTCATCCATTGTACTCAAGTACTGCCTTTAAATTAAAAATAAATAAATGAGAACACTGAAAGAACCTCAGGTATTCTTCAGCAGTAAGTTGAATGCCATCTGACCTAAGGGGAGGGGACCCATCATCTGCAATTGTATTTTTGATCACTTTATATTGTTTACCCATGTGGTTTTCCTATGAAAATAGAGGGAGAATTTATTTTATTATTGTGCAATCTGAAATAACTCAAGACCTCTTGGGCAGCAGAGGTGTCAATCTTGCAGCTAATAACTGGATTTTTTTTCTTAATATTGCATGACCAATATCAGTCTTCTGGTAAGTAAAGCCATCTGCACAGAACTCTTTATTTGGCATATGTATAACTGGCTTGCTTTTTTGCCCACATTTCATATAAACCTCTTTTGGAGGGCATCTGACTGTGAAATATGTTAATCTTAATCAGGAAAATGTAAATAGTTTATAAGAGCAATAGATGGGTTTCTCAATTAAGTTGCAGTACCTGACTAACTTTATCTGGTACCTCCAAGGAACACAAGCATTGTAGGCTAGGCTGAGAAGTAAAACACTAACATCAATGATGACCCATTTCCATACTGCTACCTTGAAAAATCTGTGGACACATCCATAAAATCACCAGGAATCAAGCTCAGCTATAAGATGTTATCTTTTTAATGAATGGCTGGGAGGAATATAGTACAGCTTTTTAAGCTAGGACCTGCATGCAAAGCCCATTTGATTCCTTTCCCAGGAGCTCCTGATTGCAGAAAAATAGGTCAAGTGCCTGTTTTTTTTTAAAGACCCTGTTGTAGAAAGAGCCCTATTGTCTACAAGGGCTTACCTCACAGCCTGTTGCCCTGTCCCGGCTAAATTACACACAAGGAGTAGGATTCTGCCACCTCCACCGTGGTGCAGGAACTCAGAAGACATGGCCCCATTATGAACCAAACGCTGCCCTTCTGGCTCAGCAGAATTGGGAGAAGATGGGAGACTCTGTGGGCAACCTGAAAAAAAAGGAAAATATGTACAAATGCTTCAAACCTGGCTTAAATACAAAGACTATGAAATTTTCAAAGAAATGTCAACAACACAAAAAAACAGCCTGCATCAAATAGGTCAATTTATTAATATGGATAAATCAGATAATGAGATCTCTCTCCCACTGTTAAAAGTGATTGCTTCTCACCTCTAGGCATTGCTTTCTTTTCATAGAAAATGCTACATCCATTTTTTTTCTGATGGAGTAGGGAAGAAAGTGGAAAATGTGACCTGGCATTAGACCAGCCAATTAGTTTGTAATCAAGCTTGGAATCTGAACATACTTTCCCCACTCAGATCCACCATTACTGCGAAGATCACTCTAATTCTAAATAAGAGGGTCAGTCTCAGAAAGCCCATTGTATTCAGAGGTGTAAACTCTGGCATAAAATCTTTATTCTCAATTTATGATTTGGCATACTGTGGTTTCACCTTGTCAGCACTATCTGCTTTGGGACTTAATAAAGCTCTGGCTGAACTGAGGCAGAGGATTTGGGATCTAGATATCCAAAATGACAGAACCAACATCTCCCTTTTTTTTTTTTAGCACAATTGCTCCTCCTCTCTGGACTATCCCTAGGTATATTTTAACGTCTTATATGCCCTATAAAGAAAGCTATTTATGTTGGCCCAAATTGGACATCACCTACTAAAGCAGGGGTAGTCAACCTTGGCTCTTTTATGACTCGTGGACTTCAACTCCCAGAATTCCTGAGCCAGCTGTTGACTACCCCTGTACTAAAGAAAGAGCTGGAAGTTATACAATTCTCCAAATGAAAGGGGAACTTGCTTTGTTCATCAGAATCTGTCACACATGCACTATTCAAATGTCTGTTTGTACATCCAATGGCAATCCAACTTAATACTTCCAATTGTTAACATCTCTGCCATTGAGACTAGGAGGCCAATATTTTTTATGTTGAAGTGATGGAATCTAGCACTGAGTTACAAGAGGGAGGAGCAAAAAAGGCATATCAGCCTTGAATTGTTGCTATGCAGAAAGAATCCTCCCTAATTTTTCCACAACATTTATTGGATAGTTATGCAAGTATATGGCAAATTCTAACTATTAGGCAAAGAGCAATAAAAAAATAATTTGAGCTATTGCTCGTGTTATTGTAGGTTTCCTATGCCTGACAGCTGCATCCATCCTTATCTTATTTGACCTCTCAGCAGCTGTTGATATCGACCGTGCTATTTTTCTGGATCAACCCAAAGCACAGTATTGTGCTTGTTCATCACCTTTCTCCAGGGTCAATTCCAATCGGTGGTGATTGGGGAGGAGAGATCCTGCCCTGTGCCCCTACTCTGTGGGATGCCACAGGGTTGGTGCATTCTTCTTTTCTATTCAACATCTGCATGATATTGCCAGGTGAGCTCACTCATTGCCATGGGGTGAGGGATCCTCAGATATGATATTATCAATTGTACATCTCTGCTCCTGGTGAATTAAGTGATGCTGTTTCTTATCCTGGCATCTGGAGGCTGTAAGGATCTGGGTGGGAAGCAACAGGCTTCCGCTGAACTCTGGCAAAACTGAGTGGATTTGGGTTTTGAATCCCATCTTTGGTACTGGATGAGTCACACTGCCCCATTGTGCATAATCTGAAGGTCCTCCTGGATTCACAACTCCTGTTCAAAAAGCAGGTGGCAGTCTTAGGAGGCAATCTTTGCACAAATCTGTCTGGCACACCAGTTGCACCCATTACTAGATGAGGGGGACCCACTCATGGGCACTCATGCAGTACTGGTTAGACTGTTGCAATACACTCTACATGGGGCTGCCCTTGAAGAGTATCTGGAAACTTCAGCTGGTGCAAAATGTAATGGTATGAGCAGTTATGTGTGTTTCTTGTAGAACGTATATTACATGTAATATAATATTATACAACATATATTATATGTAATATAATATGTATATTACGTATTATACAAACATATAAGGAACAGCTGCTGGAATTGGGTATGTCTAGTATAACGAAGAGAAGGACGAGGGGGGACATGATAGCAGTGTTCCAATATCTCAGGGGCTGCCACAAAGAAGAGGGAGTCAAGCTATTCTCCAAAGCGCCTGAAGGCAGGACAAGAAGCAATGGATGGAAACTAACCAAAGAGAGAAGCAACCTAGAACTAAGGAGAAACTTCCTGACGGTTAGAACAATTAACCGCTGGAACAACCTGCCTCCAGAAGCGGTGAATGTGACAACACTGGAAGTTTTTAAGAAGAAACTGGACAGCCATTTGTCTGAAATGGTATAGGGTTTCCTGCCTGAGCAGGGGGTTGGACTAGATGACCTCCAAGGTCCCTTCCAACTTTATCATTATTATTATTATTATTAACACCTCTGCTTCATGAACCGCATTGGCTTCCTGTTTGTTTCTGGGTCCAGTTCAGGGTGCTGGTCTTTAAAGTCCTTCATTGGCAAAGGACTGGGTTATTTGAGGAGTTGTTTTGTCCCGATTTTATCTACCTGTACTATCAGATCCAGCAGAGAACACATGTTATGAGTTTAGTGGGCTCTAAGCAGTGGGCTTTTCTGCTGTGGTACCTGCACTGTGAAATCTTCTCCCATCTGAGGTGAGAGTGGCCTCATCATTTCTAAAGCTTCTGGAGGTCCTTCAAGATCTGGCTATATCAGCAGGGACTCAGGGGATGGCTGAACTAGTGAGATGGTTCTGCTATTCTTGTTTGTTTTGGCTTTGTTTTTAATAAATGCATTTAATTTATTTATTAACTGTTTTTGGCTCTGTTGCTTGTTTGTGAGTCAGGCGGCTAAATAAACTGGTTTAATAAAATAAAATATTAAAATAACAAAAAAGTTTTACCAGCAATATAAACTCTTCATTTTTTTTAAAATCTTCTAGACTATGCTATAGTTTTAGGATTTCCTGGTACTATCCCATGCAAATGCTAACTAAATACCATCTTGTTCAGTTTCCAAGCCCTGGAAAGCTGAGCTAAGTAATGTCACATGGCTGCAATTGTGACTATAAAACAATAGTTTCTGATGTAGTACATTGATTCTGGAACATTCCACAGAAAAGCCAGGGCCAACCAATCATACATTCATAGAAATACAAATATTATATTAATGTCTCCCCCTAAAACAAATGTTTGCCTAAATGATCTTATCTGATCCCTTCCACCAGGATAAATATTCCTGATCACTAGACCTAAGGTCTTAGTCCAGCTAGCCTGATCTGTACCCCAATTTCCAGGTGGATCATTCCCTCTGTACAGATTTAGGCTGCCTAATCTATTAACGTCACCTGGCAATAGGACTGTCCCAAAGGCAGGATTTTTTGGGAAAGTCCATCTCCCAGATCAGCTTACATACTGTCACCTCTCATGTTTTTCAATTAAGGCTTCTTGTTTAGCCCAGAGAAACAATAAATCACTGACAGATTGTGTCTTCAGACCCATTCTTGTTTTGCATTTACAAGCTCATTCTTTTAAAGAAATGCAGCCATCAGGACAGATGGCTGCCAGTCCCACAGCTCAGCTAAATGATTTTCGACCTCTTCTCTTCTTCCTGAAGTCGCCCTTGTCAAAAGCTTCATCTCTGCAGATTCCTAACCCAACCAAACATCTAAGAATTCAGAGCTATAGAAATTCTCAAATGGGATAATTCCAAATGTTATTTCTAAGCATTAATGTCTCTTCTGGGCTGTGTGAAGTCTGCATATTTGAATGTTCCTTACAATTCTTACTCATACAGTGAAAAACAATGAAATCATTTCCTTCCCCCCCCCCATGATTATTTTTACAACAGAGAATCCTAACATTCCCTCCCCCAGGAGTCTGATGGGATCTGCAATGTCAGAGGCTATTTTGAACACAGAGAGTTCAATCGATGGCATCCCAAACATATCTGATCAATAAGCAAGACAGAGCAGATAAAAGGCAGAGGCTGGCAAGCAGAGTGCAGAGCTTCCTAAGACTTCCCACTTTTTTGAGAGGTGGAAAGTCCAGCAGGTCAGCAGAATGCTTGGTTTGAGTCCTTTTTCCTTAGACAGATGGACCTTTCACCTCTATGTATCTAGATGACATGACTTTCTTAAGCTACAAAAAAATGAAAAAAAGTTTCAGTTACTGCTATGAAAGAGTCAGGAAGTCATCTATTTAATAGCATATAAGTGGGGAAGAGGAACTCTAAGAATATCTGTTGCAGAATAATAATAATAATAATAATAATAATAATAATAATAATAATAATAATAATAATAATAATGATGATGATGATGATGATGATGATGATGATGATGATGATGATGATGATGAAGAAGAAGAAGAAGAAGAAGATAGATAGATAGATAGATAGATAGATAGATAGATAGATAGATAGATAGATAGATAGATAGATAGATAGATAGATAGATAGATAGATACTGTAGATCAGTGTTTCTCAACCTTGACAATTTTAAGGCATGTGGACTTCAACTCCCAGAATTCCACAGCCAGCATTGCTGGGAGTTGAAGTCCACATGCCTTAAAATTGTCAAGGTTGAGAAACACTGCTGTAGATAGATAGATATAATATACTGCATCCGGAAGATAAGCATTAGAGAGATCGACACAACAATATCGGGCTAAATTTTGGGGGGAGATGCATTTATGATGGGTAGGGATCAGGTGGAAAATTCCCACATTCAAGAAACAGCAGGTGTCCCTTACTGACCATGGAACAAACAGAAAGTGAAGATCTTGTTAAAGTCAACCCTATCAAAATATTTCATTAATACCCCAACAAATTCTAGTGTAATTTAAAAGCATTCATTCATGCTGAAATCATATTGCCTGTTACAGCCTATTCCACTTCTACTTTCAAGTTTTAGAAATAATCTGTACTGGACTGGTAGAGAGCTGTACTGATTTATATGTTTAGGTTTCATTCTAAAAGGGAAAGCAGATAGAAAATCTGAAATTTAAATTCTCCTTTGCAGCTCTTATATCCCTTATAGGCTCCACCCTAACTACATCTTCCCACCAATTGAGGACTGACAACAAAATCTCACTTACACTCTTGGCATTTGCAAACTGAAAAACCAATTTATCTTGATTCAAGCCTGACCTTTGAAGCAAAAACGGCTGGGCTGCCTGCCAAGTTCAGGAAGGCTAAAAGTAACTTCTTGTATGAGTCAGAAAACAGGAACAGATTCCCCTTTTTGCCACACAGGAATCAATTACAAAATACTACTAGTAAGATCCTAGCTTATAACAATCATATTCAGCACCCAAAAAGGTACCCATAACCCGCAATGAAATGGTGGCAGCAGTATCTCAGGTCATTCACACTTAGAGGTAAAGGTTTTTGTTGTTGTTTGTTTCCTCTGAGTCAGGAAATTACAGACCAATCAGCCTACCTGGGGAGATACTGGAAAAGATCATCAAAAAACAGATTTGTGAACATCTAGAAACAAAGTTATAACTAAAAGCCAGCATGGGTTTGTTAAAAACAGATCATGCCAAACCAATCTTATTTCATTCTTTGACAAAGTGACTAAGTTAGTGGACCAGCAAAATGCTGTGCACATAGTATACTAAGACTTTAGCAAGGCATTCAGCAAAATAGACCACAACCTACTTCTTGATAAGCTAGAAAAATATGGGATAGACCACATCACCACCAGATGGATTTGTAACTGGCTGACAAACCATACTCAACGAGTCGTCCTTAATGGTACTACATCTACATGGAGGGAAGTAAGTAGTGGAGTATCACAAGGTTCCGTCTTAGGCCCAGTACTCTTCAATATCTTCATAAATGACTTAGATGAGGGAATAGAAGGGGAACTCATCAAATTTGCAGATGACATTAAGCTGGCAGGTATAGCCAATACACCAGAAGACAAGCTCAGGATCCAAAAAGATCTTGACAGACTTGAACAATGTTGAGTAATGTGTGATCGCAGCTGTTAAAAGGAAGAAACAGCTGCGATCACACATTACTCCTAGAAGCATGAAGCTGAAGACACCAGCCTGAAGATGACGAATGGGACTTCGTCGAAACATCGCCAAGACACTTCCAATTTTACGCGGGAGAAAACCCGAATAACCAAAGACCTACATATATATATATATATATTTAAAGAAATAGAAATGGAAGATGTATCACACTCAGTATGTCACATTCTCCAATAGTAAAGTTCTAAAAAAGAAAGGAAAGACAGAGACTGAGCAAGTTCTTTGATAGTCTAGGACACAAGCGTCAAACTCGCCACGTCATGTGACGTGTCGCGACATATCGTTACTTTTTTCGCATTGCCGGAGCTGGAGTGGGCGCAGCTTCCGCATGATGCAACTGGCTCATGGGCCAGCAGTTTGACCCCCCTGGTCTAGGACTACCTCAAGATGTATGTGTGGGATTGATTGGTTAAAGTACTTTGCTATCAAAATCTCCCTGTATATGATATACTATTGATTGATTGATTGATTGATTGATTGATTGATTGATTGATTGATTGATTGACAGATTGACTGGTATGCCACCAAAACCATACAACTAATGGTGGTTTACATCAATAAAAAGATTAAAGACATTTAAAATGTCAATAAAGAATACTACATTAGGCAATTTCAACTTTCAAAACCTTGCAGAATTTTGTCCTGGGCCCTTTTCAGAAAGGTGCTAGAGGTGGCATCAAGCTGACTTCTTATGGGACATTATTTCCCAAAGTGGAAGCCACCCACACAAACACTAGCTATCCTTTATGGAACAGATTATTACCAGACATAGGTTTCTAGGCCCTGAACTTCGATTATTATTTTGTGTTTTATTTTATTATTTCATGTTCTCTCCAAAGTCACTTCACAACAAGATGGGTGGCAAAAATAATAATAATAATATACATAATAATGTTTGAATAGCTTTCGGAGAAAGGAGGATCTCTAACAAGTGTCACAAAAGTGAAACAAAAAATCAACTCAGGCATATGCAAGAGAAAAACAAGCACGAAAAACATGGGTTCCTGCTCCTCTTGGTTTTAGAATTCAATTTTGTGCAGAAACCTCCTTTAAAGGAAAGGTTGAGAAAGGGTGATGATAAGAGAAAGCAATTCTTGGCTGATGAGTACTTTATTTATACAATTTTCTGTAGAAGTAGCTGTTCAGTTTATTAGTACATATAACCGCTCCTCTTTATAGATAACTTGCAGTTATAACTTTCTTCAGAATCCACTCCATTTCAAGTAGAGAGTTAACAGTAAATCAGGCAATTGCCAGAATAAAATAAACAGACACACACACACACACACACACAGAAATACAGAGGACAATAAAGCTGACCAAGGGACAACCCCCCCCCTTTTTTCCCTAATAGCCTCATGATGCAATCACCAGTCTAAAATCTTAATAAGAAGCTGCTAAAGTGACAGAACTGTAATGCCCCTAAAGCCCACTTAACCAGCGGCTATCTGGCAGGACTATTTATTAATCTATGCTACTCAGGCTGTACAAAAGGAGTGTAATGGATAGACCTAGTCTTCAGTTAAAGTTATTGGTCTGGTTCTGATCTCATCAAGACAGTTAAATATTTTCACTTTACAACCATGTCATTTAGCAACAGAGTGGCCAGTCTCAATTGTAGTTGGTAAGTGAAGCCTACCTGAATAGTGCTATCTGCATTTTCATAATAATAATAATAATAATAATAATAATAATAATAATAATAATAATAATAATAATAATAATAATAATATATTATTATTATTATTATTTCTTTTCTGGCTCAGGCAGACTATGGCAAAGATAGCTGAGCATTGCTTATGATCTGCAGTGTGCATTAAGAAAGCATAATTTCATAATTTGATCTTGGCATGTATTAATTAGTCTATTTGTCAGTATAGTTGTAGACCAGGAATGACAAAACTATGGCCTATGGGTTACAGGTGGCTTATGGAAAGTGATCTATATGACCTACCAACGCTCTTGTCCAATCTCAAGCAGACCATTCATCAATTAATCAGTTGATAGGAAGAAACTAGTATGTATTGAATATGTGCTCTTGCCCAAAAAAAAAGAGGCCGAAAAAGCTGCATTTTCATTACCAACAACCATGATAATGTATCAAAACAAAGTTTAGAAATCTGGTAAGAGCCTTGGCTTTCCACTATTGTAGATAAAAAGAGGTTATTAAATTTGCAAAATAATGGAAGAGTATTGTATTTTTTTAACCACCACGGTAAGATGTACCTGAGATTCGGGAGGAGCTACCCCTTTTAAAAGAGAGTGGGGCCTGGAAAGCATAAATGTTGTCCCCTTCTGCAATGGTGTTCAGATCCTCATCATCCGAGAAGGAGCACTGGAATCCTGACTGGTTTAGCTCAGCCAGGATTACCTGCAAAGAGACCAGTTAAGGATATCAACTTCAAAAAAGCAAAGTTCAAATCATAAGGTATGGTATTCTCACAGAGTATGAGAGAAAATTGTCTGGCTAACCTGGTCAGGTGAAATCTTGCCCTCCTCAGCCACCATTTCTCTCAACTTTGACACAGTGCTGAAGAGAGGCACAGCTAGGCCTACACGCACAAATCGCTGGCTTTTGGATTGGAAGACAAGAGTGACATTCAAAGGCCTGGAAGAAAGAGGAACACAAGGGAATTGAGAATTGAGGAATACTAAGAATGCCCCCAATTCACATCAAGTCTGCCCGTCCGTCTGTTCATTTATTTGTTCGTTCACTCATTTATTCTCTGCCTTAGCTTGGCCACATAATTTATTTAGATATATGTTGTTGCTTATGAACAAAGAAGTGAATTGGAATGTTTCCTAATTTTTTATCACATATTTTAAGCCTGGACATTTGGGGCATATGTATTGTAAACATATGACTTGAGGACCAGGGATGAACAGATTGGTAGAAAACATCTCCACTTGGAGGCCTGCTCCTTTCAAAGCATTAAGAAATGACACCTTCTGTATCTTTAAGAATGTATCTGTCACCATGGATATTAAAAAATACTCATTAAAAATAGTGAATGGCATAGCCTTTGAATTGTGTAGGAGCAATCTAAAATACACCACTTCATCCACAGTAGCGTAATATGCAGAATGATTCCTAGATTGCTCGAAAGAGCTATGTTACAATACTCTATCCTATAACCTGCCCACCCACTCAGCTATGTTATGGCTACAACTCTTCAAAATTCCCAAACAACCTGCCTTTTATTTTCAGTTCAACGCCCATAAGATATAAAGTTTGTACTGAGAAGAAATGAAAAGAGTTGAATTTAAAGCCTCACCCTGAAGGCTCAGAAGAGGGAGGCAAAAATGGGAAAGCAAGCAAGCATTCTGGAAGAAATCACGGAGTCTTCTCTCATGTTCCTACAGTTAATTAGGATGCAAAGCTAGAGAACAGGTGTTACTTCAAGGCATCTGTCAACTCTAACAGAGGCCTAAGAAAACTGATGCTTACTTAAGGTCTAAAACATGGGGGGTTGGGGTGGTAATTTCTTCTACTTAATGTGTGCTATGATTCATCTTTTCCTGACAGGAGCAAAACATGGATGTAACATGGTGTTGGTTGCACAGCGAAGAATTTCTCCTAAAACTTCTACATGGCAGCATTCAGTGAGTGCTTTCCT